TAAGGGACAGGTACCTAGATGCAAATGAAAGTAGGCCCTACTCCATCACATTTCCCATACTTTAGGGTTACTGGCCGGCCCTTGCCTGTCTGTGCTCCAGTGCATCCCAGCAGTCCCAGCCTCTAGCCTTGGGCCACTTCCCAGGAGGCATTTGCAGCCATGCTGGCTGCCCTAGTGTGTATCCACATCTCTTTGCTATTTGCCTTCCACACACACTTTGGAGGCCTTGGCCAGCCTTCAGCCTAAAGCAAAAGGTTGGGCCCCATTTGCCTTGGGAAAAGATGAGGCGTGAGCTAAGTGAGAGGTAGCTAGGAGGTGTGTGCAAGCTTGTGAGGGGCAGAAGGGGGGCTAGAGGGAAACTCCTGAAAGCACAAAAGGAGAACAAAGTGAAGGAGGCAGTCCAGTCCCCTGAAGACCAGCTGGGCAGGGCACCCGAGGCCAGCGGTGGGGCTTGTTGCTCCCTGTTCCCGGTAGCCTGGCCACAAGATCTCTGGTTTTCAAACTGTGCAATAGAAGCAGTAGGGCTCCTATACCCTAGAGTGAGTTCTGCACAAATTCAAAGGGTAGCAGGAGCTGGATGGGGGGAGGTGGAGGGGTAGTCACAAAGAAATTTGTTTGCAACCATGCAAAATGGCTGTATTTAAACATCTTTCTGTGGTGGTAACCCTGGCCAGAGAGCTGAAGGTTGCCCTGAGTGAGAATGGGGCCGAGTTATGCACCCAGATAGAAAACGAGGGAGAAAGGAACCCCGAAACCCACTCGGCCCCGGGGTCTGCCATTAGTCTGCTCCTCAGTCCCCTGCCTAGCCTTCCTGCCCACCAGGCCCAAACCCCGCGCCTGCAGCCCCTGGACACTGACCCCTGTTTACAAACATAGCCTGGGGGCGGGGTGGGGCGCCGGAATGCAAGCTGGCTGGGTGGGGGAAGGCAGCTTGCTCCAGAGGACGCCACCAGCAGAGAGGAACTAGGAGTTGGTGCGAGAGATCTGGCCTGGCAGCTGGAAAGGACTGAACGCCTTGTTTTTGAAACTGTCAATTCCCTCAACCCCTATTGTGAGGGCTTCATGCAAAACATCTCAGGCCTTTTAAAGTAGGAGCTTGTGAGGCCGCCACAGTTTGAAAAGGAGCGAGAGAGGAGCAGGGGCCTAGGGCATGGGCAAAGAATGATAGCAGCCCCCCCCCACTTTTTTTTTTTCTTTAGCAAAAGAGGGCCTGCCAAACAGGTAAAATGCAGCCCTCCTCCCCAACCCCCTAGATCAGCTTTATGTCCTAACCCCCCAGGCTAGTTTGCAAAATGGCCTTTGGCCTAGGGAGCAAACCAAAACCAAAGCTAGCATTAAAAATAGGTCTTCCTTTCAGGGAAGGGGAAAATCCTGGGGAAGATGGGGTGACCGGGTGGACTCCCTAAGGTGGATGCCCTGTTCCTCTAGCCAATTTCCTGAGGTTAGTTGATGGGGAGCCTTTAACCTCATCCCTCAAAAGCCCCCCCCCCCTTTGGCTGCTCTAGGAGCTAGCTTTTTCACATCCTTTTCAGCAGGAAGTTATTTTCAAGGTGAAGTAAAACTCACCACATTTTCTGTCTTTTGTAGATGCTAATGCTTTATTTAAAAAAAAAAAAATGTTTTCTCACCCTGGAGGATTTTTGTTTTCTTTGAAAGAAAAAAAAATACTTTTGAGGAAAATGTCTACATCTCTTCCTGCATGCAAACAAAACTATCATTCTCCTATCAGCAGAAATTTCCAATTCTTGTGACTGGAACTTTGAGGAATTTCTAGACCATTGAAAGTCACCCAGACAGGGATAAGATAAAGTCCACACACCATCCCAAGGAGTTTGTGTTATTGCTGTTTAGTGGTGGCTCCTTGTTGTTGATTTTAAAATAAACAACCATTATTGAGATTACTCCACTGTAATCAAGTAAGTCAGTAGAAAACAACACCCACTTTAAAAAAAAGTAAAGTTGAAAAAGAGCAAGCTGCATTTTCTAAAAAGGCAGATATCCTGATTGGAAGACAGCTTATACATATCTCTTTAAAAATAATAATTAAATAATCATTTCAAAGTCTTATCAGGAAACTGCTTTTACAGAAGACCAAAAGTAAGCTCATTTCCCTAAAAAGTCAGAGAAAGAACCCTTTCCAGCATTTTCCTCAAGTCTGTGAATGTTGAGTTTTAGACCAGAAATCTGTACCTGGGACCATATAGTGCCTTTAAAAAAAAGGTCTATCACCTGAAAACATTTAAAAGTAAAAATGCAATCAATGGGGGTAACTCTTCTCTCTTAGTAAGGCTAAACTTTTTGAACAAAAAGGGGACATTTTACATTTTTAAAATATCTAGATGTCATCAATCGTCAAACAACCAAGAATAAGTTGGACTTACTGAGACTAAGCTCTATAACAGAACTGTTTAACAGCTAAGGAATTACCAGAAATTGAAAGAATATCTTGTATTTGCAAATTACTGAAGACTTGTTTGGTCCACTTTCCTAACAGGAGCCCCTGGTCAGGTTTTGCTGTGGTTGGCTGGTTTGTAGTAGTACTGTGGGGTGAAATTTGTGTTGACTATTTAATTTCTTTCCTTTTGATGGTATCACCCTGGAATGCCTCGGCCTCCATGCTGCTCATTCTCCAGCTCCTATAAACTAAAACTATTGATTCTCTGAGGGCTGGAGACCAAGTGTCAAAGCTAGAGGCCGATATTTTATGTCAGAAATTCCATAGGGCATATTTGTTTTAAATTGTGCTTATTCTATCTCTTAAGTCCTCCCACAACCAAGATCTGGAGGCTTCAAATATAGTTCCATTTATAATTTAGGAACAATGATTCAATAGCCAACAAGAAGAACTAGTTTAAATGTAATAGTCATCATACTTTGAACTTTCATGACTTAGCAGTAATTAAAGAGTAGAAATTACAGACTTCCAATGTATGTATGTCACACATTTTACAGATTTTGCGGGACAACTCACTGCACCCAATTTCTATATTGCCTTCCAAAGAGGAAAGAACACAGACTGCGAATCCAATTGTTCAGCTTTAACTGTAACATGCATTGGTCTTTGGAATTATACACAAACATGAATTCAAAGATAAATCCCCCAATTTTTTTTTGCTTTGACCTTATCTATCTTCTCAATAAAGAAGGATTCAGTAAAACTACATCTGGCAACATTCAAAAAGGAAAGGAAGAGAGGCAGTTGAAAGCATCTGTTTACTCCATCCAAATGTATTTGGATGCAGGGATTCTCAACCTCTTGTCCTTTACAATAAGAGTAAAACCACAGACCATATACAGCAATTAGCGCTGAGACCATCCAGATCTATCTGAACCATTTATAGACAAAAGAAAATTTTCAAAGGGAGTACGAATGAATGAAGAGGGGAGGGGACTGGGAGGCAGGAAGACTGAATGTCTATGAGAAATGTGACTTAAATTCACACAGTAAACATTTCATTGATTTTTGTTTCATTTTGTGATTTGTGATCTATAGATGCAACTTCTTAGGTTTAAGATGGCAAAGATCTGAGATATATAATTCTTCAGACTAAGAGAGGTAGACCAAAATTATTAGATTTACTTTCATTAAAATAGCAATTGATCTTGCTTGGCTTTTTAAAACCTGAAACTTTTTGCACATAATTTGTAACAAGTTTGTAAAGTTTTGTTGTAATTTAGAAAGAAATTCATCAGTGTTTTTGCACAGAACCTGACTGGCATCATCACATGGTATTATAACAAAAACAATACACCCAATAAATGTATTTCTTTCAGGCAAAAACATTACATGTGAAAATGTCAACAAAGCCATTCATTCCTGTTAACCGTTCTTCAATCTCGAATAAGTAGAAATGTATAGAACCAGGTCTTTTAAACAGTGTTTTTAATTGAAAATAAAGCTAAAGCATGCTTTCCAACAGTGCAAATTTCCATAATTTTGATTCACTGCTTCCATAACGTAGTACACCAGCATGACCCTTATCAAGGGCTAGACCTAGCCATTTGCATGTTGAACTACTTTGATTTTAAGTGCAAATATATAGATAGTCACCTCTGATTGTCACTTGCAGTAGAAACTCTCTTGCTCTATACACAGGATGGTCTGAAAACAGAAGTTTAAGGAGATGCAGAAAAAAATAAAAGGTAATAAAATCCAAGTGCCTGAGTTCTGGTACCAAAAAGCCCTGAAACAACTTGTTTTTCAATTGGGATATTTTTACAACTCTGACCTATTTTATTTTTCCTGGTTATAGTGACTGCATTGACACTATGAAGAGTCAGGCCATAAAATATCCTGCTATTAGACAACTATTGTAATTGTTTTTGCAAGTTTGAGGAGTCATGTTCAGACCACAAGGTAAACAAGACAATAGTAAGAGTCATCTTATTAAAAAACCTTTGGGTGAGAACACAGAAAGGACTTTTCCAATTGCAAGGAGTGGCTGTAAAAGTAAAATCACACCCTTTACCCAAAAATACAATCTCATATTTATTTTTCTCAGTATATATGAGGCAGTCTTTGTCAGCATTCAATCTGGACTCCCCAGTTTTTCCACTCAAAAAAAAAAAAAAAATAAGTGCAACTACTCTTGGAGAGGGAATGAGGGGAGTAAAAAGAAAGATACCCCACAAATAAGAGCCCCAGAAAACATTTTGGGCTCACAGAAACTTCTTGCTTCCTCACTGTATAACCAAGTAACCTAACAAACTTTCACTGAATTAACAGTTACAGTTTCAGGTTTGAAATCTAGTGCATAAACTTAATGGCTCATTGTAATATTTATTATTCAACCTTTTGACATTTATTTGTAGCAGTTGAATTGAGGTACCGGGTGTATTATTAGCATTGAAACAGTAAAGTGTTCCAGCACTACCGTAATAACTGAGTTTTACTTGAGTCTTCAGCCTGAAGTAGTCTGTGGAATGTAAACCAACCCTTCTCCCACCCCTCCCCCCTACTCAAAAAAAAAAAAAAACACCAACTGAAAAAAAAAAAAAAAAAAATCCGATTTCTGTCTTCAAAATGCGATAAACCAGGACTCCAAAAGGGGTGTAACATATTAATGGACTTGTACAAACCATCCCGTGCAGTTTACAACAAAAGGAAGGTAATATGGTTCAAGAAAATATCTTCTAAAACACTTTTATGAATTAAATTTCCTGAATTTGTGACTAGGTGGAAGAGGTATTGCAGAACCGCCCAGCTGCCATTTCCATATAGGATGGGCCTTGTGAGGAGGTTGGGAATCCTTAGCGGTGTTTAAGGAATATGCTGGCCACAAATCCCCATCCTTTCCAATAATGAGTGATGGAGGACAAGGAAAATTTGCCATGAAATTAAATGGCCTTTTCACTGCTGATGCTACATTGCTGGCTACCTTTTTGCGTCTGTTTATAACTGTAAAATCATCCAGTGATCCTTCATGTGTCTCAGTTTTACCTGTAGGACGAGGACTTCTTGCTGATTTCAAATTTGGTTTGACTGGAGGTGTCTGAAGCCCAGGTCGCTTTCCCAGTACTAGTGTCCGGTAATTTTTTCTCACCCTGGCACCAAATTTATATTCCCCATCCTCAGGTTTTGGAGAACCTAAAGTGCATGAAAGGCCCTGATTCTGAGCCAGTGGATTTAAGGAAGGAGTTTCTTTTTCAGGGCATGCAAAGCCTTCCTTGGCTGTGGTTAGCAAGGTGTCCTCCTCTTTACTTTCAGTCACACTGTAAAACTCACCCTGCGTATCATTGCACTCGCACTTTAGCTTATTTGTAATAAGTTCAGGTTCATATTCTTCATTAGCACTACTATCTTCTACTTTGATTTTAATATTGTGCAGAAATGGCAATGTCTTGTCCCTGGTATCAGTGCAGGGATTCTCTGCTTTAGTTGCTGCTGCTGCTGCTGCTGCTGCTGCTGCTGCATCCACTTCAGGATCAGTTTGCGAAGAGGGCAAATCCGTAGCAAATTCAGTACAATGAAGGATTTTGAAATCATTTTCTGAATTTGCTGCTGCTCCAGAAGCATCATTATTTAAGAACCTAGCAGCTATTGTGTTGTTATCTGCACAGTGTGTAGTAGGAGTTGCTTGTAGGCATTTCCTAGCCTCTCCGAGTATTCTTTGTTGTGGGAATGCATTGTTTGTCTTAGGGCTAGGTGAAGAGGCCCCCTCTGCCAGGCAGTTAATTGTCAGGTCAGTTCTCTTTACAGTACTGGAAATTTCAGAGTGCGGGTATGTAATCTCAGATACCCTATCGTTTCTTATCTCCGTGAAACAGCTCCCCAGGCCGGCCGGGCAGTATACCGGAGACGTTTTGGGGGCCCAGCTCTGCGGATTCCACTCCTCCGGCGACTCGGCTTTGACACTACTCCTGAGGTCGGGAAGTCGACCAGCATCCTCGAAAGCAGCGGGTTTGGTTGCAGCGGCGGCGGAGGCCAGATGGTACAAAAAGTTGGCCTGCGCCTGCACACTAGGAGGTTTGCAGAAACTGGTGCGCCTGAAACGGATGCTCTGCACTGACACTTGGCTGGAGCCGGAGCTGGAGTCCGACTCGGTCGAGGAGTCCTCCTCCTCGGAGCTGACTTCACTGGAGTCCGAGGCCCCACTGCCCCCCTCCTCTTCCTCCTCCTCTTCCTCCTCCTCTCCCTCCTCCTCTTCTTCCGAGGACACAGAGTTGCTGGAGCTGGACAAACTGGAGCCAAAATCTGAGTCGTTGGCTGCATGGTCCGAGTAGGAGCTGGATTCCGAGTCGCTGCTGCAACTCTCGGGAAAGCTACCCAGATGGGGCTGCGGCCGGTGGTGACGAGAGGGGTGGTGGTTCTGCGGCGGCTGCTGGGCCCGGTGGTGGTGGTGGTGGTGGTGGTGATGGTGGTGGTGGTGGTGGTGGTGGTGTGGTGGTGAGCAGAAGCTGTTAACCAGATGAAACCTCTCCAGGCATGATTGTAATATTTATTATTCAACCTTTTGACATTTATTTGTAGCAGTTGAATTGAGGTACCGGGTGTATTATTAGCATTGAAACAGTAAAGTGTTC